GGGCTGCAGGGGAATCTCTGCTCCCGTGCCTGGAGCACCTCCTCCCCTCCTTCTTCACTGTCCTTGGTGTCTGCAGAGTTGTTCCTCTCACCTATTCTCACTCCTCACTCCAGCTGCAGTTTTGTGTTCCTTTGGGTTTTGTTCTCCCTTCTTAAATATGTTATCACAGAGGTGCTGCCACCGTTGCTGATGCGCTTGGCCATGGCCAGCGGCGGGTCCATCTTGGAGCCATCTGGCATTGGCTCTATTGGACATAGGGGAAGCTTCTAGTAGCTTCTCGCAGAAGCTACCCCTGTAGCCCGCCGCTACGAAAACCTTGCCACACAAACCCAATACATCTGGATACCACTGTGTCTGCTGATTGTGCTAGTCTGAAATGTTACTGCTACAGTTGCATTGGCTGAAGCCTGAGGACGAGATGTGGCCTTAGCTAATGGGAGCCTAAGGACGTTCAGAACATTATTTTTATAGGCTGTAAGAGCAGTAACAGAGAAATTGTAAACAATTCTGTACTGCTTGTACAGAACAATTCTATACTGCTTGTAAGAGCAATACAGAAATGAAATTGCTATTCCTCCTGTAGTTTGTTACATTTGAGCGAAAACAGGCTGATGGTAACAGTTCTTTCAGCCACCAGTGAGACTGGATAAAAGGACTGAGTGCTTCCACATGACTTTCCCTGAGTAGCAGGAGAGTTCGGAAAGATCTTAAATAGCCATCATGCTTTTTATTACAATCTTTGAGAAGTGGAAAAGCTTTCTGAGATGGGTGATGATATGTGAAATATTCAGCAAATTTGATGCTTCTGGGTATCTTCTGAGAATTGCTGCTGCAACTGACAGGAAATGGTTGATTTGCCCAGTTCCATTTAAAGAATCTGTATAAAACTGACTTTTTAGTTAACAATTTCTCTCACGTATTTCTTTTGTAGAAGGATGCTCAGAAGATACTGGAGCGGCAAGGAGCACTGCTGAAAAAGCTGGCTGACTCAGATGCAGAGAAAGTGGTAAGCAAACCACAATCTCTCCTTTTTTTTTTTTTTTTTTCCCCCCCCGCCCCCCCCCCTTTTTCTTTTTTTTAATGATAAAGCAGAGAGATCTAAAATGACAAGCTCTTCTTTGTCTTGTATTCAGCCATCAAATCTTACACTAATGCCTTTAAGACCAATAAAAAAATATTTTGCTTTTTGTGGTAATCGGAGCCACTACATTGCTCTTCTGGTTAACAACCTACATTTCAAAGTGGATAGATTTTCATAGCCTTTGAAATATGGGGGCTTAGAATGGGGATAGCACAACTGAGACCTACATATAACAGCACCATTAGGACTTACAGTATTCAGCTATAAAGGAGAGCTTAAGCCTGTTCTTATTATGTTTAAGTACAAATGATTCTGCTTACCTTTTCTTACGGTACAGAATGTACAAAGCAAAAATTCTACTACATATTTCTTTAAAAAGAAAACTCTGAGGGTGGGAGAGAAAAAAATTTCTACTACTAAAATATCCCTGATGGTCAGGATAGAATTCTTCAGTTTGGAAATCATCTTATTGTTTCTGTATGTTTATCATGTTATCCTTAGAAAAGAGGGTAAGCTTTCTGTGTCTGCTTCTGTCACTGAATGAGTGAGTGACCTGGTGCCAGTTTTTGTTCATTTCCTTATCTGTAAACTGGGAAAAGAGTTCTCATGTTGCCAGTTATAAAACTCGCTGTGATGTAACACTTTTTTTTTTTTTTTTTTTTTTTGGTCTGTGGAGTATATAGTCCTGTAAGGTCCTCATTCTTGACTGGGTGTCCTATGCCATGTTACACAAATGTATGTGTATCCCTTTTGCTTTCTGCTTGAGGACAGTGCAGCATGTTTTTCCGGGGCCGAGGATGCTGTTGCTGTGGATACCAGACAGAGAGTGCTGTGGATTAGAGGGTCTCAGAAGGGAGGCAGTTACACCTTTTTCCCTCCACCTGCCAACCTAGATGTGTTTATTACTTAACATCTGAGTGGTGTTTGTTTTCCCAGCAACTTCAGATGAAGCTTCAGGAGAAAGAAGAAGAAGTGGACAATCTTACCATTCAGATACAGGCAGAAAAGGTAGTTTCTTTTTTCTGTTTTCCCCTCCCTGCTCCACCTCCCAGTTCTGTAGAACCACAGATAGCCCAAAATACGGGTTTGTACTTGCAGACAATTACTTTTTAAGGGATCAGATGACTGCCTTGCTTATAAAACTAGACAGACAGCTACCTATTCCCACACAGTTGTGGATTCAATTTTGTGCTAATAAAACATCCATCACAAAGATGAATAGGTTGTATTTTCTTTGCTTGGGCTTATCACTGAATTGCCTTTCTGTTTAAGGTCCTGTTGGTTCCTGATCTCAAATTCCAATCTGCTCCTCTGTTTAGGAAGTAAAAAAGGAATGTAGTGGAAGAGATCAGATATGAAGGATGTTTTGCCCTAGAACAAATCTTTCAGGCCAGTCATTCACATTTGATGTAAAATAAATGGCTACACTTTTGTTGGAGTAGAGGAGCTGTGAGGGTCCATCTGAGGAAAGTGGAGGTGGCTGGAGATAGTATCAGATTTCTTCACTGAATGGTATTACATATTAGAAAAAGTTCCTTCTGTTAGCTTGTTGAGGAAAAAGGTGTGTGTCTTCTCTGCTGCTTTTTTAGGACCAGGCAAAGACAGCATGCGAACTCTCCAAATCTATGGAGGCTGTGAGAGGCCATTTACAAGCACAGCTGCGAAATAAAGAAGCTGAGAACAACCGTCTGAGTATACAGATACGGGTATGTTTTCAGTGGTCCCTGGGGATTGTGTCTTCATTTACTGTCATGAACTGAATTGACTGGCAAGGGAGGTAGCACTCACCAACTATTCTTCTACTGTGTCTGGTAGTCTGAAATATTGGATGATGTTTATACCACTAACACACAGCACACTTTTCAAATGAAGTAAGAAAAGAAAAAGCTTTTTATTTCTGATGCATGAAGCAAAATCAGAGCCTTAAGGTCTATGTGCGTTTATTAGGTATATTTTTTCTAAGTTAATTACTACATAATTATTGAAAAGATGGTTTTGGTTTAGTCAAGCATCAAGACAGATCATAAATTATTTAATTTGCTTTCTGGGAAAAATGCTGTGCCATGAGTTCCTGTATTTGATCACACTCATGCATGCTTTCTACAGTATTAATGAGGAGGAGAAAGTTCCCTTGGTTTATCTTGATCAAAGTCTTATGTCTAACATATCTTTTGATGTTGTGATGATGTTATGATGAGCATATGTGTGTTAATGGTTTAGAGGAATCTTAATTCTGTTAAGGTATATAGCTGCATAAAGCAACATTATTATATGTGAGCATTTCAATTAATAAAGAGAATGTTCTCAGGTAGATCAAAAGACCGGTAGACCAGTATTTATCTTGGTCAGGAGAGGAAATCAGTATTCTAGAGAGGGACTTATGAAAGAAGAAAATAAGACTTTTGGAAAGAAAGGAAGACATGTCATGCTGACAAGGTCTGTCAGCATTAGGACAGGATTGTGTACGTGAAATGTCATTGCAAGTACCTCCAGGCTGGAGATTGGGGATTTATGCCCAGCTCTCTCCACTGTTTCGAGGAAATTAGTTGTTGCTTTGGTTATGCAGGTATAAGGACATTATTCATGTGGTGTGTTTTCTGCCCCCCTGCAGAATCTGGAGCGCAGTGAAGCTCAGCATAAGGCAGAGGTGGAACATATCATGGAGCAACTGAAAGATCTAAAGCAGAAGGCAGACCGTGATAAAGAGGCCCTGAAGAAAGCCATGCGTGCACAGAAAGAGCGGGCAGAGCGGAGTGAAGAGTATGCACAGCAATTGACTGTCCAGCTAGCAGAAAAGGTACCTGATAATGCAGGAGGAGAGACCTCATTTCAGATCATGCATCTAAATCTTTGATTTCTGGTAGCAGCCCTGGGGAGAGTCTCTGCTTTCAACTAATGAGATTTATTTCTGTCTTGATGCCTTGGCCCATTTATGCTAAGTTTAGAACAAATCCAGTTTTCTCAACTGTCACTATATTCACTGCGTGTCCTTAACTTAGGACATGCAATAACTTAGATCATACTAAACTAGCAGATCTGATTTTTTTGCCTGGTTCTTCAGAACCATCTGAGGGGTTGACAAAAGCCAATGAAATAAAGCCTGGTATTTTTGGCTGAAAATTCTGAATGGAGCTGGTTATTAATCAAGAAACTAGTCAGAGCAGAAAAGTACAAAGACTTAGAAGTGTACTGGAATTTCCTGTTGAAAGTGACTGAAGGATATAAAGAAAAAGTAGAAAAGGTAGGACTAAAACAAATCAGAAGGGAGCATGGATTTTGCATTACTTTGATATTCCACCCCCCCCCATTGTTTTTAGAATTCCAGGGACCAGGGCCTCTAGTAGAATCTTAGCTGTGCTTTGTAGTTGTGATAGTTCATCTGCCTTCAAAGAGGATTCTTCTTTCGCTGCTGTTCTATCTGTTGGCTGACAGTAGTGTTGGAGAACACCTCTCTCTGAAGGATCAGGAAGAATAAAAATAAATACTTGCCCTCAATATTTTAAAAGTCTTAGTGAAGTCTCTGCACGTATCATGCTTAAGCATATCAATATCTCTGCATATTGTCTGCAAATACAATGTCCAGTGACATTTTTGTCACCCTTGCTCTTTTCCTCATGTATTTCTTTTGTTTGATAGGATAGTTATGTTGCTGAGGCGCTGTCTACTCTGGAGTCCTGGAGGAGTCGCTACAACAAAGTAGTAAAGGACAAGAGTGACCTCGAACTGGAAATTGTTACACTGAACAGGTTAAAATAAAATTAGTGTGGAGAAACAAGCATGAGTGGGGATGAGTTCTAAGTTCGAGGACAATTTAATTGAATTTAAATGAATAATTTCATTAAATTGAATAATTTAATTGGATTGCTTGTAAATATCCAAGCAAAGCCAGTACTGCCTAAGGGCTAGAGCAGAGTTTGGGGAGATTAAGAGGGAGAGAGAGAGATGTGACTTCTGCTGCTGACTTGCCACAGCAAAGGCAGGCTTTTTAAGGGTTTGCTGAACCTTAAAACTCTCTGTTCCTTTGCCATTTTGTAATGCTTTGAAAGAATTAAGGTTATCTTTCTTTTGAGATCTGTTTGAGATGCTTGAATGGAAGGGATTAGAGGAGATAAGCAGTATAGTTTGTGCCAATTTTGTTTTGAAGCTAAATAAATGTGTTGGTATGACTGTAGTACAGTTGTTGCTGCAGGAAAAAATAGGTAGGTATGAGACAAGAGAAGTAACTCTTTATCCTGTGTATCTTGGAGGCAATGCATTTGAGCTCCAGGGGGACAACTCAAGTTAATTTCCAGCAAGCTAAGATGACTGAGGTGGTAGAACAGTGTAACAGATAGGTGTGCATACATCACTGGAGGAGGAAGAGGAAAGGATAGGGAAAAGCCATGTTTCCAAAGCAGTTTTCAAGGGTTAGGAGTCTTATTCTTTCTTGTCACTTAAGGATTTGTTTTCTTTCTGTATGGCAGCCGTGTTGCAGACTTGCTGGAACAGCAGACAAGCCTGGAGGACAGGATGCGGGAAGACAGAGAAGCTTTGGTGGATAAATTGCATCGACAGACTACAGAGATCACTTCTTTTAAAATGGAGAACGAAAGGCTAAAGGTCAGTTATTCTAGGGGTTTGAAGCTGAAATGCTAGGGAAAAAAAGGAGAAATTATAACCGGCTGCTTAGCCTCTGAGGACAGAGTTGAATTGCACCCATTGCCACCATGGGTATGATAGGGCAAGTACGCTGGGAAGAGACATAAAGAAAGAAAGTGAACGTTGTAGGAGGACTGGGTTTCTTCCATGTTTTGACTAGGAGTATGTCCAAGCCAAGTACTTTCTTCCAGCTGGGATCTTGCATCTTGTCCTTACATCCTCATGCTGCTGGCTAGAGAACAAACAACTGTAGCTCATGCAGAGAGAGGAGTAATCTCCACAATAAAAAAAGTGGCTGGCATATTTCTCCTGTCATCTCTTACCACTGGTGATCTTGTAGGTGACCGATATAAATTTCTTCTTGGAAAGCTAGGCATTGATCCAAGTAAGGAGTGTCCCTAATCCAGGTAGCACAGCTCATTCAGGCAAATGGAAAGATTGCACGTCCATCACAAACCTCTGTGTTCTGCTGGTGTAAATTTGGCAATCCACTGAAGTCTGGAAAGTTTTGCCAACTTGCACTGACAAAAGTCTTTTTTCTTAGTCTAGACAACGTTAGACAGCTAGCGTGGCAGTTACTTCCAAGCACTCAATGGAAGATGTTTTCTTTTTTCAGGCTAGTGTGGTCCCAATGGAGGAAAAGCTGAACCAAGCGCAGATGGAAGTGCAGCAGCTCAAGAGCTCTGTCAGGAACTATGAAGGGTTGATTGAAACCTACAAGTCACAGGTAGGCATCTTAACAAAACCTTCAGCCCTTGCATGAACATGTTTTCTCCCTTCACTGTTTTGGCTTGTTCTGCAATGCCTTAACCCTTTGCTTGCTCTTGGAGGATGTTGCAGTTTCATATGGTTTTGGTTCTTTTGTCTCTATTAGCCTTACTTTTTCTCAAATGGCAGCATCCAGACTGCCATGTGCTGTATTGCAAAGTGTGGAAGACTTGCCTTCCTCACTATGTGCTGATAACTTGGTCATTACGAAGAGCTGACTCCCACAGATCTTGATTAATGGAAAACAAAAGACTGGTTTTAATTATTTCACTTTTCCCTACTCCTTTTCAAAAGGTAAAGGAAAATAGTGAGATGCTTTCTTCTGCCTTTTAGTGTGGCAAGTACTGTTCCTTGGCTGCTTTTGGGGGTGGATTTTGGATATTGTGGTAATAGGAGGATAAGGCAAGACAGGAGAGCGTTTGGTGGAAAGCCCAAATGATCCAGCTGGCAGAAGCAGAAAGTGAACTTCCAAATACAGTTCTGGGGTGGTGGTTAGTGTGGCAGAAACTTGTTGCTGAACCTTGAGCAGTTTTAGTTACTCCAAAGCATTGCACATTTGTTGAAAACTATATATAGCAGATAAAGCATGTGGTTTTTTTTGAATGTCCAGGTGTTGAAGACCCGAATGGAAGCAGATGAAGTGGCAGCAAAACTGGAGAAGTGTGATAAAGAGAACAAGACACTAAAAGATGAAAGGAACAAGGAGATTGAACTGGTAACTATTCCTCTAAAGACTGACACGTTTTAGACATTCATGGATCTTAATGTTCTGAAGGTAGTGAAAAATGGCTGTGAATAGGAAATAAAAGGCTTATCTTGAATTTGCCTTTTCCATTAGCTTTTCTCAGGACTTGTTCATTCTGCAAAATTTATTCAACATTTAGCAGCTTCTTTTTGACTACATGGCATTCTTCAGAGGTGTGTAAATTGCTTAGGGTGTCCTTTGCTGCAGAAATAGTGGTTTAGAACAGTGGACTAGGTAGGTTACACCATTGTCTGATGTGGAACAGCTGTCCTCGGAAAAGAGCTTGTACTTCTAGTAAAACTGAACCCCAGGATCCAAAATGCTCAATAATTCTCACTCCATCCATAGGGAATGCCAAATCCTAAGAGAAAGCCTTTTGGAGTAGGAGAAGACCTTAGGCTTTGAACTCCAGGACTGGCCGAATAGCCACATAGTGTCATCATGGTTGCAGACTAACAGTTTCATTGAAGTTTGAGAAATTTTTTAGTCTTGACCTTATGGACGTTTGAAAGTTCCTCATGTTCTCTTCTTTGATTATAGGCACGTAAACAGTTCCAGAGCCAGCTTGCTGAACTGGAAAAGCTGCCCGAGATCCTAAAGATCACAGAGACACAGCTAGCAGAATGTCAGGACCAGCTTCAGAGTTATGAGAAGAAGAATGTGGACCTGTCTGTCATGATCGCAGATCTTCGTCAGCGGGTAAGGGACTGGCAGAAACCTGCAGCACTGCAATCCACAAGTCTGAGACGAAGATGAATTTCTAATCACAGGAAGGTTCAAACTTCATCTCTGTTCTCGTCTCTTTTTGAAAAGATTAAACGTGCACTGCAAAATAAAGGTGTGTGCCATGTCTTTGTGCAAGAAGTTAGCGGCGTAATCTAGTAGCATTCCTTACTATTTGAAAGGTTTCTCATCTCTTGGTGCAGAACCTTATTGGGACTTGAATAGCAGCATTGATAACACTTGCTAATGCCAACACTCGCTTCTGTTACTTCCATCATTTTGTCAGCTTTCCCTCCTGTGGTTTTCTGCTGATAGCGCTGTCCCAACTTTGTTTTCTCACCTTGATTTCAGGTTGTTTTCCCAGTCTCTCTTTTTTGTCCCCAGGAGGACTGTGTAGGTATTGCAGGGCAGCTATAGACAGGCATGACTTCTACAGCCATGCATCAGGACACAGCAAATGATCCCGCAGTCTGACTGCTTTTCTGTGGCTTGGAATTATAAACCTTCCTGCTATCTCAGGCTCTAATGCCTTTGTGGGCTGCTGTCATGTGTATGGCTGCTTTTAATGCATGTGCTTCGTTGTGCTTACAGGTGGCTGCTCTGCATGCAAGTGTTTACAGACCCGGCTTTTCATTTGCAATACGGAAGATTTTTCTCATACCTTTCCAAATGTTAATTTGAAGCACCAGCAAAATGGACATTTGGTGCTTTGCTTTTCTATCCACTGTTCCTTTTCTGGGGCTCTCTAGAAATTATGAATTGAGCGTGCTTCCTTCTGGAGAGCTGCATACATTTTAGGTGGTTGGTCATGTGTGTGTGTAGTGACTACTCTGTAAAGTAATTACTTACTGTAATTTTTAGATTGAGCTCCAGGGGGACAAAATGGAGATGACAAGAGAGAGGTATCAGTCTGCCCAGGAGGAGAAAAAGCAGCTCACCTTGAAGGTGGAGGAGCTAGAAAGGTTAGAAATATTAGGCTCTCTTGCTGTCTTAACCTTCCATTTCCATCGTCTTCCCATTGTTTTTTCAGGGGATTGAAACATCTTCAGTCTTGTTCCAGTCCCCCACGTGCCTCCAGGATTCTGTGCATTTGCTTATCCCACAAGGATCTCTAATCAGTAGCTGTCCACTGGAGAGAGAGTTATAGGGTTTTGCAGCATCTTTTATGAATGTTGTTAGAAAGCACGATGGCTTACACAGCAGATAAACCAGCTCCTTGTCCAACCTAGCCTGACAATTTTGAGGTTACTACATATTACAGTATTTTTGCCCACGTTTATAAATTCCTTTCAGTGACAATGTCTGGGAAAATGCAGGTATATGGGGGCTCTGTATGTCCTTCAATCTTTGAAATCTTGATTTGAGAAATGGCGAAGTGTTTCTTGGGGCTCTCACCTTTCAAGGGGTAATAGAATCTATGCCCAGACTAGTCAGGACATGACAAGAGGGCAGACTGAAACACACTCCACTTAAAATGAATAGGTTTCCTTCCCTTATTATCTTAACCTAGAAAACTAGAGACAACGAGCGCCCAGAACATAGAATTCCTTCAGGTCATAGCAAAACGTGAGGAATCGATCCACCAGTGTCAGCTGCGGTTAGAGGAGAAGACCCGTGAATGTAGCTCCTTGGCACGTCAGTTGGAGATGGCCATTGAGGATGCCAAAAGACAAGTAAGTAATTTCTTGTGTTTGTGAATTTTCCCAGGACTACCCAGATTGTAAAAGGGGAACAGTGAGAATGCTGGAAATACCTCCTATGACCAAAGTAATGGAAATCATCATGTTCAGTGAAATACAAATAATAAAATATGCTGGTACTGTTTGTCGGCACATTGAAAAACTGAACCTCACACTCCAGTTTGCAACAGAAGAGAGGAAAGCACAAGACTGAGCTGCTGCTTATGTATGAGAATGTGTCCAATTAAACTTTGTAGGGCTTTTGTGGGCAACGGGGTAGGTAAAAATCATTCTTCCATAGACAACCCTTTAACAAAGCTGTTGTTCCATTGTTACACGTAGGTGGAACAAACTCGAGAACGAGCAACGTCTAGAGAGAGGGCAGCCCAGTCCAAGATGTTGGATTTGGAGACCCAGCTGAGTAGGAATAAAACAGAGCTGAACCAATTGCGTCGGAGCAAAGATGATGTGAGTGACTTGCAAGGGATACTCTTGCTGTGCTGGTGGTGTCCTGGCAGCAACTAGAGTCCATAAACCAAGGTCCTATGGATTGCTGCAAAAGTCATGCAGAGCTGTGTCTGAATGTGACATGCTGTTATATGTGTCCATGACAGATGTGTGATATGATGTGTCTGTTATGTCACTAATTCAGGAGTGCGGATTCTCATTTGCTTCTTACTTATAGCAGCAATCTGAATGGACTTGCTCTAAACTTACATGTGTGTGTAAGGAAAGAATCAGACCTTTCTTATGTTCAAATGAGATTTGCACCAGATATCATGGACAGATTTCAACTTCATTTACTGTGCTTGGTCATCTGAGAGAGAATGCAATTTCTCTTCTAGAGGAAAGGATTTCTTCTAGAAGGAAGAAGGGGAATCTTTCATACTGTCCTATTTGCCCTGCTTGTTTACTTGAGTTTTACTTGGAATTGGATTGGCACATGGATCAGGTGAAGTTGCTTTCCAGAAAAGAGTGTGTTTAATTCCCCATAACTATAGCTAATCAGTTTTAAAAGCCTGACTGATTAGCTGTGTTGTCTCCTGTTTTTATCAGCGGGTTGCTGAATGGAGTTGGAAATGAGCAGAACAAATTACAAATATAGCACCATCTATGGTAATGTCATCTACTGCTGTGCTAATTCCTGC